GATTTTCGCCCACCCCTAGAACAAATAATGACTAGAAGAAGGTATAGGAGGAGGAGGGCTGTATCTCGCTAGTAAAGCTTTGACAGATTTTGTTTATCTGTTTTGAAGACTCTTCAATGTGTTCAAGTATTTGATATTTGCAACCTAAACATATGCGACATATGAGCGGAATTGCCTAGAGATCCATAGTTTCGGGGTAAGTAGTCTTTAATTTAGAAGAGCTGACCAGAGACTGAGGTAAACCAGTCGGCAAATCGCCTTTAATGCGTCTGAGCCGAATGTGATCTATACTTAGCGTACCCGGACTGTGAATCCGAGAATTCATGATTCGCTTTTCGTTGCCACAAAAACCAACTCGTCGCTTTGAAGCTATGGGTGAACTATAACAGCAACAATTATATCCCATTATTCGACCAGACAAAAGCAGCCAAAGAATTGGTGGTAGGTATTGTCGACTACCTGCCTTACCAACGCTCCCACGGTTGAAAGGTCGAGCATGTTCAATGTGACGGGGATTCGAACCCGCGACCCTCAGATTGCGAGTCGAACGCCCTAACCACCTGGTCAAACTTATAAGTTGAAACTAAGTTTGTAATGTTACCTATTGACTTTTTTTCTTAACATTTCCTCAATTAATTATGTATATGTATGTTGCAAAATCATGTAAACAGATGGACATGAAACTATATACACCTTGTGAAGTACAATCTCACGTCGAAATACGTGTGATTTTCGATTATTTATTCAAAGCCACAAAGTAGTTCATTTGAGACATTATGGGATACCTTTTGAAATGAGAATGGGGTCGATGAATAAGATCTTAATGGTTTAATCACTACAGTAGCAACAGACTGTTTTGGAAGGCATGGAATATCATCCAAATTCTGATATGATTAATCTACAGGTCTTCTCAACACGTTATTCAACTAAAAGCCAAGCTTGATTTTGTTCAAATTATACAAAGCTTAATTAAACACTATATACATTTTTATTACAAATTTACAAGATATGACTATTATAATCAGATTGTATGTTATTAAGCACAAAGCTACAGAAAGAGCTATCTGTGTTCTGCCCACCACGGGTATCGAAACCCCATTTTTAGCGGTTAAAAAAAAGTGTAATTATGAGTTTATCAAATTAACACAATAAACATCTACAAATCGATGGAAATGTACAAAAATATTTACCAGAATTTTACAGCCGATTTTTAGTTTAGTAATTGTCCATTGGTTTGTTTTACCAAACATGCTCGCCCTTTTAGCCGTGGGGGCGTTATAACGTGACGGTCAATCCCACTATTCGTTGGGAAAAGAGTAACCCAAGAGTTGGCGGTGGGTGGTGATGACTAGCTGCCTTCCCTCTGGTCTTACACTGCTAAATTAGGGACGGCTAGCGCAGATAGCCCTCGTG